ATATGCTTTTTAACTAATTAGCATTCACAATATGATAATGAAATTAAATTCTAATTGGCTAGAAAGTATTTATAACTGAATTCAAGTACTTAGTTTTAGACTAACCTTGATAGAATTGTTCATTTTTTTATACCAGTACATGCTATTATTGGAATATAGGCACTAACAAAGTTGTCAACAAATTTATTTGAGCTAAGCTCTAGAACTTATTATATGAGGACCTGGTCTGAAGGACCGTGTAGCAGGACTTACAAGTCCTAGGACCAAGACCGGACCTAGACTGACTTTGCCATCCCTAGTTTGATGGCTATAGATGACGTGACCATATAATAAACTAATTGATGGTTATTATCCATTTACTATTGATATCCGGATAATTATCCGAATATCTGTCAGATTATCCGGATTGGAACTCTATCTCCAAATATCAAACAGTTCAATCTGAAATACGTATGTACTTACGCAATAACTAATAATTGCAGGCAATATCGATATTTTCTATATTTTTAAATATAGAAAATAGTATTCTGGATTGCGATAAAAATAATAATCATTGTGTGTCCGTGAGGGGATTATGTACAGATATAGTAATAAAAATTTTTTCATCAAGAGCCAATCAAAACACAATAGATCATTCTAGAAGTGTTTTCTTGTCCGACTCGAGTCTATCAAAATGACTCGCATCTGCACGTGTATCTAATATATTTTTAAATATATTAGATACACGTGCAGGAAAACACTTCTAGAATGATCTATCGTGTTTTGATTGGCTCTTTATGAAAAATTTTTATTACTATATCTGTACATAATCCCCTCACGGACGCACAATGATTATTTTTATCGCACAAAAAATCGAATATATCAATCCAGAATACTATTCATTTTCGAGAGCATGAAAGAAACAAATAACTGAATATGAACGATTACAAATGACAAATTAATCCAAAAAAAAAAAAATAAAAATTTTGATTAGTCATCAAACGAATGCTACCGAATAAACAAACTAAATTCCTCATTCGTAAACTTTTTGCCCATGTAAATTTGACAATTCATAATTTTGTTCTCAATTCTTTGATTATTTCTCAGTCTTTTATAAATCATATGCAAAAGTGCAAATATTAAATGTACTGTAAGTTGAGATTTTACAGATATTATTTATAATATACTGTATATATTTAATTAATAATAAGAATACTATAATTATTATTATTATTTATTTTATTATATACTGTATATTAAGATACTGTATAATCTATTTACAAATAATTTTGTAATCTAATTGATAATTGCATTTAGAAATGCTATATAGTATATACAGTATTATAAATCAAACTTTTGGCAATATGTATTAGAAGTAATAAAAGTTGTATTTATAGTACAGCAGTATAGAAGTTAAGCATATATAGTATTTTGGCCAGAGTCTGCGCTTTGTATCTAGATGTTTTATTGAGTGAGGTTGCATTTGGAAAGTTTATTTTCATAATCGGATTTGAGTAATATTACGCCATTCAACTTTATCGAGAGTAATTGAATAATAAATTCGGTCAATGAAATACAAAAATGTGTGATTGTAAAGAAGTGTGACAATTATAGAGGTCAAATTTATTATATTTAATAAATAGGTTGTTTTTTTTAAAAAAAAAGTGCTTATAAATAAAGTAAATGGGTTTATATAGGAGGTGACTACAGAGAGGTCTGACTGTAATACTAATACAGTCAGACTAGACTCGGTAAACATATGTTATTGTTACAATTTAATCTGATTAGTAAGCATATCACAAAAAAAAAAAAAAAAAAGAAAGATAACGATAAAAGATTGGCGATCGCATTACAAAGAACATTTATCTACCATGATTAGTCTACCTAATACTGTAATAAAGGGGTAATATGATGAAATATGTATTGTAATAATTTACCTTATGATCAAATCAGAACTATTTTTGCATCATTCAATTCCTCTAATAGAGAGGAGTTAAACGGTGTAAAAGTCGCTCGAGTCCGATCACTGGATCACGAGATATCTCAATGCGTAACAATATCAGTCTTTACCATATTGATTAATACATATAAAATATACATATACTATCTATATATATATATATATACATATACTATCTATATATATATATATATACATATATATACTATATATATATATATATATATATATACCTATGTATATATCTATATTTATCTTAATAATCTAAGATCAATCTGTCATTATTTATTATTTGCATAAAAACAATAGTTTGATTGGTCAAGAGAACCAAAAATTATTAAAAATTATTATTAAATGAGATATTAAGTATATACAGATACGTATACGTAATGCTGTACGATTAAAAAAGGAATTGATAACGATAAAGTCCAGTAATCATTTTACAATTAATCGAATTAGTAATGAATTTTCTCGATGTATTCACTATATTATCTATCTATACAGTCAACTAATACAAAACCAAGCCCAGAATAAAGATTTTTTAGAAAAAAAATCTCGCTGCCTTGCATAATCAATTAATTAGAAATCGCGCATTTTACATGCATCTTTTTAATTAAATGTTCGAATATTTTAATTAAATGTTCGAAACTTTCAAACCAGTTAAGTTATTAACTTATGGATTATTTATTATTATTATTATTATTATTAGTCATTTATGCGTAGATTTCATTGTTAGATGTAAAGACATACGATTGTCGTTTCATAAAGATCAAGAATATGACAAGAATTGACAATGACCAAAGGATTTGAATCATGCCCTAACGCTTAATGAATAATAATAGTTTTGATAAAAGTTAATACTTTTTTTGATGGACATTTTTGACATTTTTTTTAACAATCATTCTTATTAGAATTCGATCCAATGAATATCATAAAAGTATTATAAAAAAAGAAGTATTATAGTACTTGTGCCAAGAAATTAAAAGTTATTAAATATTTGAAATTTCGTCATTAAATGTGTAAAAAGTTTATTGATAACGTAAGAGACACAAATCAATTTTTACTATCATCTTGCACGACATAATTTCAATGATTTGGAGAGTACCAGTGCATTAATACGAATACGGAACACCAGAATACATTATCTAATTTTCGAAACTCATTGTTAATATTACGTGTTGGGAGCACAATAATAATTTGTAACTTGTTTGCGGATTTATACAAGATGGGATGTACGATTATTTGATCGACCCTCGTGGCGAATCGTGGTACGTTCGTACATACATATATAAACAATTATAAAATAAAGACACGAAAAAAAAAATAAAATAAAATAAATGATTAGATTGCAGAGATAGATATTGATACTAATACTAATATAAATGCTACATAATATTCGTGTATTAATAATATTTGTCGGGTATTTAATACGTAATAATAGTATCGGCATTAACAGCAGTATCAAATTATCAAATATCATATGAATATTGATGCCCAAGTGTTATCGTTATGAATATTAATGCTAGTACAGTATTACTTACGTACGTACATACCAGATACACTAAGACAAGATATTTGAAACGCAATAGTTATATAGTTATAGTTATATAGTTATATAGTTATGTATATAGTTATGTAGTTATATAGTTATATAGTTATAGAATACTACTAAAATATTATTTAAAAGGTCTAGACCAACTAACAATTGCTGGATGAGAAAAAAAAGGATAATCCGATGCATTGATTGAGTATTACTGTATTAACTGGTATTATTATACTGCGGTAAATTATGTGAAGTTTAATAAAAGAGGAATAGTTAGTTTACCTATCATGATATAAAAATTGCATCATTAACATTCATAAAACTATAAAAAGTTTGGTATTTCAATTTTTGTTCAGAGACCTGAGCGTAGGAATTAAAAAATTTAGAAAGTACTTATGTGAGTACGTATTATTTGATCAATCGAAAATGTTGAGAAAATGTTTATCAAACATATCCAATAATCAACAGTCACACCAATGTTTTGGTTATTGAGCGAAGCGATATGATATCATGTACAACCAAATCCCTGAATTTGAAATGACGTATTGGTGCATAGAACACTTAATACATCGTTATTATATATATTCCGTTAGTCTCTTTATTTGTGCATCCTTCAACAAGTCACCAATCACACCAATAATGTAATACCGTCGTTTGAAAGAAAAAAAAAAAAAGTATAAAAAAAATACTAGTTCATTATTTATTAAAAATTTTTTTTGTTTTTTTTTTAAATCAAGTCATACAATTGCGAGTGTTGGTATTAAATAAAAAGATTCCGTTATTATCAACTTCGATAAATATGAAATGGCAACTTCAAACGTATCCGCTTCTTCTTTGCCTAATGAAATATATTTATCTATTTTCACCCATCTTTCTAAATCTAACCTCCTCGCCGCTTCTTTAGTATGCCATAAGTGGCATATTTCTTTTATCTCTTTCCTATTTTCAAATCTTTTTATAAAATCTTCTCGCCAATTATCTCTACTCAATAAATACAGTCTATTAAAACGTCACTCTCATTTAATTCTTTCTCTATCTCTCTTTAAATTACATCTTTCCCCCCAAGATAAGCAATTACTTTTAACTACGTGCAAAAATCTTAATAAACTCACCTTAATAAAATGTTGTAACATTGATTCGGATTTCTTAAGAGATATTATAAGAAATAATAAGAATTCAATAGAAATTTTTAATATCTGGGGTGAACGAAGTATTAATAATTCGAGAATTAATATTAACAGTACTGAAATAAATGATGAATTATTGAGTCCGATGATAGAATTTTGCGGAAATTTAAGAGAATTACGTATCTGTGGCGCTGAGATCACCGATAGTATTTTAATTCGTTTAATTTCATCATTAGATGATCCAATATCTCCTAGAAATCCTTCTTCTTCCTCTGTTGATAATTATAATTCTGGTGAAAGTAATTTCAATTCTTCTTCTTCACAAGATTTATTAGTAAATTCCCTTTCTTCTCCTATATTATCTCATACCTATCCGCATCTTCATTCATTGGACTTTACTGAATGTTTTAATTTGACTGCTTTTGGAATAGCCGAATTATTCTCTCCTGATAATTTACCAAGTTTTCATTCTTTAACTCTTCAACATAACCCACAGAATGAATTGGATTTGGAATTCTTTGAATTTCTTGCTGATAGTTTCAAATCTCATTCATTTAAAATTATCATCTTAAATTCAAAGAGATTTGATGAAAAAAATAAAAAGGTTTTACATACTTTTGCCAGAATTACTAAAGATCTGGAAGTTCTTGGAACAAAGAAAGACAATGTTCATGTTATTAAACATGAAAAAGAAATGGATGATTCCGAAATTTTGTGTTCTATTGGAATAAGTAGTCCTTTCATGTATGCATGATTTTTTGTTAATAATACTGTATGATAATTTTTAATAGATGAAAAGATGTATGATAATCGGCTATTCATAATATTAAGATTTTAGTTAGATTGTTGAGTGGGTGGATGATTGAACAGGTGGGTAAATTGATGGATGAATCGATGAATCAATGAATAAATGAATGAATGAAATAAATTTGCATGCTTAAACTGCTTAAAACTTGTATAAATAATGCTTCATAAATAAATTTCTGAATTATTCCTATCTATTTATTCAAGAAAAAATTGTTACAAAATACTTTTGTAATTTTTGCATATATCAGATATGTTACGTATTTCCTAATTACCTACAGTACATATTTTTCGTAATTCTGTAATTCTGTATTAATTGTATATTACTCGTTACGTCACGAACCAAATACTCCTTTTTCATTCATTTATTCATGCGAAGTAGATAGTCCCCATCAAACTCTCTACCATATCAATACCTAACTACCGCATTTCGTCGTCAACATAACATTGGATAACTTAATCTGATTCCATATTTTCGTTCTTTAACGATTATCTTGATCATGTTCCGGCACGAGGTATGTGATATTACATTTATGGTTTTTGTACCTTGAACCACAAGAATTGAAAAAAAAAAAAATTCCATACGTACGTACGTACGCCAAATTTCTAATATCATTAGTTACACATGTCAAGGGGGTGCGACAATAATAAATATTTCAAAGTTTTCACAAATTTAATATTCAATTTCACTACCTATCTTATCGTTATGTACAGTACGTACTGTACTTGCATACTACGTACGTACATAACCCCCAAAAAAATTTTTTAACAGGCGTAACATGTTCCAACATAGAAACGAACACACATAACACACATGAAAAACATTGATATATACGAATTGATAACTTATTGAATTTTTACGTGTTGATAATGCAATGCTGAAAGGGAGAATCAAAACAAAATAATTAAAATTATTAATATTTCTTTTTTTAATGACGTTATTCAGGGATCATGCATGTACTAATTACACAGAAAAAAAACAAACTATTGAATTTGAAAGTCAAATGGCACAAAAAATATTTATGTGATGTTCTCGTCCGTCACACACTCCCTTTAAACTCTTGTTAAAGTATTACTTTTTTTACTCTTAAATTAAACTTCGATTCTACTTGTAATCATTAACTTTACTTTTCTCAAAGTTTATTGAATTATTAATTTCAACGTTTTGTTCATTCTAATCATTAGAATTCGAATGTATGTATGTATCATTCGTTTTATTTAAAGTTATTCAAATTATTTTTTTCGATTTTTTTTTTCGATTTTCTTTTTTTTTTTGATGTACACTCACATGCCAAAAATATTGAAACACTTGATGTTTGACAAAATAACTTACCGTATTTATTCTAAACTGGTACTGTATTGTATAACGGTAACAGTTTTTTTTTTCAATCCTTTGCCATAAAAAAAAACTACGTATCGGTATATACTGCTTTACAGAAACTTTAAATCATTTAAACGCATAGTAACGACGTCATAACTACCATTAAATTTAATCGCAACTATATACATAGATATTATTCAGTCACTTGCACGTTAAAAGTTTCAAGTTTTTGTATAGTGTATATATTGTAAATTTAATAATTTATATTTAGTATTTTGTAGTAATATATACAGTATATATATTTATGCATATTACTATTTATATAATTTATAATATAATAAAAATTTGTTTTTTAATATAGGTGGGCATAGAGAATTATTATAAAATTATAATTTATAGTATATATATACTAATTATTTTGAGTAGTGGGTATTACCATAAAATATAATTATATTCTATGGTGGTATTCCACTTAGGTTAGATTATATAATCTAGATATCACTATATAATCCAAATATTGCTATATAGTCTGGGTATTATCATATAATCTGGGTGTTATTATATAATCTAAATAATATAACCTAATAACTATTAAATAATTTATTTATTTTTTATTTATTTTTTTATATCGGGTATTTATTGTGGCAGATTAAAATGAAATCGGATTAAAATAAAATTTTTCTATTTTTTTAGGAAAATTTAAAATTTTTGGGGGACATTTTTTAGGGTTAGGGTTAGTGTTAAAGCTAGGGTTTAGAGTTAGTTATATTAATAAAAGAGTATAAGTGGGTTTTATAAGCTTTAAAGATGAGCAAGAAAGGTTCTCAGTTTCATTTTAATCCGATTTCATTATGATCTGTCACATTGATTTTAAATTTTTACTATATAAATCTCTTTTTAACTTCTAATAAAAGTCATAAAGAAAAGTTTTGCAATCAAATAGTAGTTAAATTATTAAAATTAGCCTAGTAAATTATAAGATATAAGTATTTTTATCTTAATGGCTATTTGTTTCTTTTTTATTAATAATATAAAAAAGAAAATATATAGTTATAAAAACTAAAATATTTATATCTTGTGATTTACTAGACTGATTTTAATATTTTAACTATTATTCTGATTGCAAAATATTTTTTTACAACTTTTCTTAGAAGTTAAAAATAGATTCATATAATAAGAGCAGGGTCATTTATCACCTGATTTTTTTTATCAAAGGCATACCCCCTCTCCCCCATTTTTATTATATATTTGATCAGGTCTTTATATATAATTTTGACTTTTTTTACTCCTCTCCCCTTCTAAAAAATCACCTGATTTTTGTCACTCCCCTAAAAAAAAAGATTTTTTTAAAAAACTTCAATTTTTTTTTTTTTTAAATTCTCCATGATGTGTAATCCACATCTGGAATGCAAGTGGTGCACTTTATTATTTCAATATCTTATATATCATATTATAAGAAATTATTAGTTACATATTTAATTGCTATATACATCATCTGTAGGGCTACTCTATTAGATGTTCTCTAGCTCTTCTATGCTATGTGTCAATAAATCTACTATTTTATAATATTCTGAGTTCCTAATTCCATAGTGTAAGATCCTGCCTTATAGCAGTCTGCAGTTTCTTAATACCATGGCCCTAATTTCCTATATTTTTTTATATTCAGTATTGTATACCTTTTTCCTAATTCTGTACTTAGACTCTATATACCCTTTATTCATCACCTGCTTACCAACATACCCATTAGACTCTGTGTTTTCAGTTTCGGCCCTTCTGGACTTTACTTCTATATATCTTTTATATTCACTAATACTTTCTTATATGAATATTCTACTTGAGATTACTAGGTATCTGCCTAGAAGGCAAGTACCTCTAAAGAAAACCCATAACTTTTTTTTCATTAGGTTCATTATACAAGTCTTTTGTTTTTATTTGAGGCCTTCTTAATAAGAACACTATGGTTCTGACTCAGGGTTTCTTGCATTAACAACTTTCTTTTATCAGATTCCTTTTCTTTTTCTGAATATCACATGACTTCATAGCCATATTCTGCAACTTATTACCAAATGTGGTTCTAGCAGAGAAAGATTCCCCTATGAGTTTCAAACTCACAACATTGTATTTGAGACTTGGGAGCACTAACTACTACACTATAGATCTACAAGTTATAAAAACTTCAATTTTAAAAATTTTAAAAATAATAAAAAAAAATTTACTATATTTTGTTACTAAATTACTATTAAATTTAAAAATATTTATAAATTTTGAACTAAATCTAAACTAAATATGAATCTAACTTAAAAGTTTAATACTAAATCTAAACTAGATATAAACTTAATTTAAAAGTTCAATATTAAATATAACTAAACTAAACTTAAACTTAATCAAAGTTTAGTTTAGTTTAGATTTATAAAGATACTACTAAAAAACAATACTGTCTTCTTGCTTAAGATATATCCAGGATATATGATATTATATAAGGTAAAGAGGGTATTATAATGCTATTGATTGGTGCCGTAAGTCAAATCAGACTATATAGTAATATAGTAAATATTTACTACAAAAGTAGTAATTGTAATAATATTTACTACATGTAGTAATCATTACTACATGTAGTAATTTTTATTATATATAGTAATTATTACTATATGTAATAATTATTATTACATGTAGTAATTATTACTATATGTAGTAATTATTATATATGTAATAATTATTATTACATGTAGTAATTTATTACTACATATAGTAATTATTACCACATGTAGTAAATATTACTATACATAAAATATTTTATTATAAGTATATATATAGTAATTATTACTACACATACATATTAGTAATTATAAATTTAGTTAATCAAACTTGAAAGTTGTACATATCGGTTAGATCAGCGAATTTATATACATACAGGGTCCGTTAAAACCAGGTGCGTTTACATATTGATATTCATATTGCAGAAATTCTATTATTGATTTTTATATATAAATAAAACTACTTGCGCATCAAAAAAACTAACTCTAATATACCTGACTTTAAGGTTTCCTGATTATAGGTATATCGGTTAAATCAGTTGAGTTTATGCATGCAGTTTAATATTTATCATATTTGGAATTATGTTTGTAAAATGTAGTAAAATATAGTAAAAAAAGTCACATATAAATACGTACTGTATGTATAGATAGGCAAGTTAAAATAGATCCCTTTCTCACAAAATACTGTAAATATAAATCTTGTTATTGCGGTAACCGCAGGTTTGATCAAAGGTGTGAAGTGTGATTGAAGGTGTAGTGTGATTGAAGGCGTAGTTAGGATTGAGTAGTAAAAGAAAAATAATGAAAGTAAAGTCTTACCTGATAGTATTATTGTCAAAGACAAACCATATGATAATTATTTATATAAAGTGTATATAACAACTTGGGTATTTGTATCAAGAAGAAATCAGAGTGGAAAAGAATGAATACAAAATGTTCTATGATTACCAAATTGAACAATTCATTAACGTTAGTCATTATTATATGGAATCTGAATTGAATAAAAAATAAAAGAATGAGATATGTGGAATATTTAATGTTAATATGAAATTGAAACGAATATATGTTGAGATTAGAAATGCTATTGGAACATAT